GGTGCAAGGCAAATCAATGACATGTACGAACTGCAGCCAATAATATAGACCAAAAATATCGAGAGCGAGAATAGACAGCAAAACGGGGTGTTGAAGCAGGAACGAAAGCAGATGCAACCTCAACTGACGAGCCCAAGAGAAAGGGAAAATGCAAAGAGTATTACGACAAAAAAGAGGCATGTAAAAATAGAACGGAGGTAGGGTTATAGATGATAAGAGGAGCTTCGCGTGGACAAGTCAGACGGATCGGGATCTGACCTCCCTCGGACGGGCGGCAAGTGGGGCAACGGACGCGACGCGGGAGGGTGTCGTGGCGGTGGTGGCTGCGGCGGCTCGTCGTCGTCTTCCTCAAAGACGCTCCCCATGGGACTTTTGCCGCGTCCGGAGCGGCTGTGCTCCGAGTCCGACCCCGTCTCGTCGCGCATGAACGATCGCCCCCCGACGCTCGCGCGCCTAGGACTTAGCGTGCCCTCTTCGTCCACCGTGCCTATCCGGACGTACAGTTCCACCAGCAGCTCTTTGGTGCTAAGCGCGGCCTTGACAAAGTTTGTCGTCGACGCATATGGAGGAAAACAGGGCGCTAAGACGGCCTTGTGTGGGCCCTTGGATTGAAGGGGGAAGAGCGATGTCCGGGGGAAGATGAGAGCCTGTGGCGCTCTCGGTGGTCTCGCAGGAAGAACGGTGGGTCTGGAGGTCATGGAGGCTGGTTCTGAAAAGAACGCGCCTTGGCCGGTAATGCCTGTACGCCCCGTTGCTATCGGCGTTGGAGGTTGGACATGAAATACCACATCTGAAGTACGGCCGTCAGGAAGGGGTAGTGTGGACGAAGGCCCTGAGGGGGCTATGCGTGACGACTGGGGTTTAGTTATTCCAGGTATAGGGGCAATCTTTAACTTCGGAAGGACGGGTTTTTCTTCCTTGATGACCATCATCCTTGCATCGATGTTGCATTCTTCGCCGTCCACGAGCGTCAAGGTGAGGCGGTTGGACCCGATTTCGAGAGTCCAACAGCGCTTGCATGCGGTGAATTCAACCATAAGCCCCGCTTCGGCACGGAGGAGTGTGTTGACGCCTGGTCCGCAGCGCTCGCCACGCTTTTCTGGCGGGGTGGAACGTCGCTTAGCAAGGGCGGCTGCGTCCTTGAGGAGTGCTGAAGGGAAGTCCGGTATGGAAATGAGGGCGCGGAACTCGTTCGGTACGGCAGATGAACCACCCGGCGCCGAGTGGTTGTTACTAAAGTGTGCTTCTTGTTGGATGCTCACTTCATATTCGAAGGGCGGGGGATCCCAAGGTTCTGTGGAAGGTAAGGGAACGAGATGTCGTAACGTTTCATAAAGGTTGTCGTCTTTAGTTCGGAGCATGCATCTGGTGTTAGACAAAACAACATGTGAATGTGCCGTCAGCATAAACAATGCACCGCAGTGGGGGAGAGACATGGGCGTACCCTCGCCGGATGCTCCATAGTACATTTCTGGAGTGAGAGTTTTCGAGAAGGAAGAGTAAGAGCTCCGGGGCTCGCTGAAAGTCGCACCGGGCGATCTCGAGGACGAGCGGTGTCATGCTGAGGCCATCGAGGTTTTCCTCCAAGAGCTCGGAAAAGGGAACGCCAGCATTCCGACAGGCGTCTCTGACGTCCTTCATAGCCATGGCCGCCGCCCGAGGTCGGAGGGACTGGTCACGCATGATGGCAGAAACACTCCTCAGCGCTGTGGTGCGAACAAACCGGTCGTTTCTGGCCATACCGATCAGCGGGTCATAGTCGGGTCGCATATTTGCCATAGGATGCAGATGAGGGGCGAGCTGCGATGACCCTGTGCGCGATTGAAGGGCGTTGCTGGCGGAGGTCAACGTCTCTCGTACAGTCCGCTGCTCATGATTTTGACTCCGGGATTGTGCCGGTGTAGGAGGTGGCGGAAAAGTAGCGACGGAACGAGGAGATGGGTTGGGAGCGGCGTCGTGGGCACGAGCTTCAATGGCCTGCATGGTTTCAGCCTCTTCTGCAGTAAACATGCGCAAGGCCCGTTGCTGCAGGTGTTTAGTGAGGAGATCTTCCATACCAAGGTCTAGGGGAGCCCCTTTTGCTGGCCGACTGGGAGGTTTTTCATGGTTGATGGCTGGAGTGTTGGGCGACGTTGAGGGCGAAGAGTGAAAGTTCAAAGAAGGGAGGAGCTTTCGAAGGCTCATGAGAATGTGTAAAGGAGAGGGAGTGGAAGGGAAAGAATAAAAGCAGAGGTCACTGTTCGGACCACGTGACCCAGCCCGTGCCGTTTAAGTAATGGCAGTGTACGTACCTTGGCAGTGATCTACACCACCGCCGATTCTTCCCGTGCTTCTGACCACCGGCGCATTCTTGCTACCTGGCGTGCTTTTGGCTGGCGATTGTAATCATTCACTCGTAATACATTCGCCCGCTGCGGATACTCAATCCCTGCCGCCTTTGACAATTGTCCGGATATGCCACTCCCGCTGCAGTTGGCATTCCGATTTGATCTCCAGCATGACACAGCTGCACCAACGGCGGGCGCGTGAGGCTTGGCGAATAATATCGGTCAACGCTACTGAATCGCATCATTTGTAAGATCAGCCGTTACGAGCACTTTGATGAGCAGAGCATTCAAAAGCATGACCATTTAGCAGTAAAATCTGAAATATGTTGATGGGTTGGGGTCTACTTCGCTTGGGGAGAGTGCAGGGTGTGGGCACAATGCTGTGGCATTAGCAAAACACAGCAAAAAATCAAGGTAGTGGGGAGTGTGGGGTTCGAACCCACGCACTTTCGTAGTGGATGGCTTAGAACCGTAGTTCTTAAGGCCACCGCCTTAGACCACTCGGCCAACTCCCCGAGGTTCGGGGAAGTTGTCGTTCATTCCACCCGACGCCGTCACTTTGGATCACGCCACCTTCCAAAAACTCCACAACTGATGAACACTACATGACGTATAACTAAGGTAAGTAGCTTACTGACGTGGCGACTACGATACCCGGAGCGAAGCTACAATCCGTGCTTCGTTCTGGCTCAACTTCCATGAGATCCCGGAACTCGTGTAAAACTCATCCGGATCCTCCTCCTACCACACGACAACGCGTCAGCCTCGGGATATTGGAAGAAGGTCTGGAACGTACCAGGTCCAAATTCAGAATGGTAGATATCTGTTGCAACCGCAAGAACTTTTCTCGTGCATCGCTGAATGCCGTTTGATTAGACAGATACGTTGTGATCGAACGGAGGTCCCGATCAAAGCGGATAGCCCCGAGCTGCAAGCAAGCGTCAACCCGAGTGTACAGGTTCCACCCGGACAGACAGTCTCGCACCTCTGTAAACTTCATGGACAAGATGTGCTTCTCCCAAGGTCGGACGAGAATCTCGACTGCCTGCGAAAAGAAAGCTCGGTAATTTCTTTCCGTGAACGTATCCTACGCATCGAGTTAGCTGGTCTGGTCAAATGGATATGAAGGGGACAGACCTTGAACCCGTCAACCAGAGCATCCCAGGCTTTTACGAATCTCTTGCGGACAGTATCTTGATACTCAGCAGCAGCGTATGAGTCCTCTTCGAGCAAGTACGATACGTCTTTGTAGACTTCCACGACCAAAGATCGTAGTTTTGGGCGTGCAAGTTGGTTGAACAGCTGCTCCACACCCCACTGCCCAAAGGTATTAGATAGAGTTTAGCAATCATGCCTGCGATATGCTCACCTTTAAGACAGATTGGAACTTTGACACCAACTTCAGCATACCAGATACATTCTCCTGGACCAATTCAACATCACTCTCCAAGAAATTTTGTTGAATCTGCGGAGAGGCCAAAATTGTCTTAATCAACGTCTCCATATGAGAAGAAGA